TTTTTTACTAAAGTGATGGGCTATTTTGGTTGGGCTACTTTAGTTGAAGCAATGGTCCATCTCCTCCCTTGTGCTTACCCATATTTGGGCCTAAGAAAATGGGCCTGAGTCCCGAGGCCCCCAAGCGACCCGAGACTTCCATTTCTTGACCCATCAATGGGCCCCATGACAACTCGTTACCATCCATACCACAACCCACTCAAGCAAGCCCCGGGCATTTGAGTGGCTTGGGCCCACTTAAGCTTGTTGTGGGATAATAATTTCCCGCTTGGCACGGCGTGTCGCTTGGCATGCTTTTGAGTATAACGCTTGATAGGATAATTGGCATGGATTTGCAAAGCTAAATGCATCCTTATGATTTTATTTCAGTTTCTAGCACGATAGATTTTTTATTTGGCATGGCATGTAGGATACGGCTCGCGCGCGGCGAACTTCTGTGTACTTCAAATTAGGCCTTTTTCCAATAATATGTCGGCTTGAGCTAGGAATTTATTCGGGCCTAGCCATGGATTTTTTGGGCCTCAACAACGGTTTTTTTTTTTTAAAAAGGTCATCTATTATATGTAAAGATGATGGTTTTTTTTTTTAAAAGGGTTGTCTATTATATATAAAGATGATGGTTTTTTTTAAAAAGGGTCGTTTATTGTGAAGTAAAGATGACGGTTTTTTTTAAAAAAAAGGGTCATCTATTATATGTAAAGATGACGCTTTTTATAAAAAAAAAACTGTTGTCTATTATATGTAAAGACGACGATTTTTTTTTAAAAATGGTCGTCTATTATATGTAAAGATGACCGTTTTTTTTAAAAAAGCGTCGTCTTTTAAAACACGCTAAAAAATGGCCGCTTAAGTGAATTCGTGCTCGACAAATTTTCAAATTTTCACCCGTCTTTGAAAACCTTATCTCTCATTAACAAGCGTCATCTTTTAAAACACGCTAAAAAAAGGCTACTTAAGTGAATTCGTGCTCGACAAGCATCACAGTAAAAAAAGCTAGAAACAAAGAAACAACCCAAGTTTGATCCAC